CACTGTCTGCCCTGCCTTGTGCAGGATCACAGGGCTGGAGAATGGATCCAATGAGATGGATAGACTGACATTAGTAAAGACCAATAAAGACACTGTAAGTGGAGGGAGGGGTGGAGGGGCATGTGTCACCTGTTGAGAACCAATTAAACTCATTAAGATAATGATAACGGTACTGGTATGTACATGTACATGTACATATGGTTAGCTTGTAAGTTCACAGTACATGTACATGTATAGGGACTTTTTGATATTGTATTGAATGGAGAGAGAGAGAGAGAGAGAGAGAGAGAGAGAGAGAGAGAGAGAGAGAGATTATTAAATAATATGACAATTAGTTTAAGAGAAGGACACTACGCCCAACTCTTGTCGATAGTCAGACGTCGGAGTGTTGGCCACAGTCGGTTGATGCTCCTAGTCTGCCTACCCACCTAGACTTCTTTCCTGGCTATCTACCCAGCACCTCGCCCTCGACCCTCTTTTCACGACTCAGAGACACCAATTGTCGTCATACCATGTGACAATATAAACAAAATTTTTTTACAACTACTGTGTTAGCATGAAGCCGTGGTGAACAGCAGGCTAGGCAGTCCGGTCTTGAGAACTGGAACTGGGGGTTAAAACGTTTTTAATGGCCAAACTCTCACCTCCCTGCCTGCCTTAAAAAGCTGTTGTTACCAATATGGCTTGTACAGTTACATGTGTGCTGACACTAGATATACAGGGCCTATGCTTATTATCTAACACAACTGGGCTTACCACTACATACTGGAAGGTATTGGTTTCTTTTCTCCTGGCACTATAAACTTGACATGTGCTTGACCATGTGCTTTAGGTGATTATTATTTATTAGGTGATATTATTAATTAAGGCTGGGTTTTGGTTTGGCACTTAATGAATTATTTATGCATTGACATGTACATGTAAAACATATGCTCAGAGGGGGAGAGAGAGAGAGAGAGAGAGAGAGAGAGAGAGAGAGAGAGAGAGAGAGAGAGAGAGAGAGAGAGAGAGAGAGAGAGAGAGAGAGAGAGAGAGAGAGAGAGAGAGAGAAAAAAACCCCACAGGGACAGGGACAGATGAGGTCCCCACCCCTGTGGGGACCCCATCTGTTCTGCCTGGACCCCAAATACATTGCTAATTTAACAGTAGTCTATTACATAATGTGATTAGTTATTATTACTAATTAAGGCTGGGTTTTGGTTTGGCACTTAATGAATCATTTATGTACATGTACATGTATTGACAGTATGATGTGGTTATTTTGAAGCTGTACTATTGTCAGTATAGGTATGACTTATTCGGTGAATGCATTAGATGCTATGGAAGAAGTGTCCATTAGGCAGAGGAGGCGATACTAAGAAGATAGGTCACCCGTGCAATGGAAAGGCCTGGCCAAAGGACTTTTTCACCCACATAGGTAGTCCTACGACAATAGGTTGGTGTTACCCTTCAACGACCCAGTGATCCCAGGACATAGCCGGGCCGAGGCCCACCATCATCCTAGGTATATAAGCCGAGGTTTGCCGGAGGTGAACTTTTTTCACACCTCTTCCTACCGCATTTTTTGGGCATGAGAGATTATTAAATAATATGACAATTAGTTTAAGAGAAGGACACTACGCCCAACTCTTGTCGATAGTCAGACGTCGGAGTGTTGGCCACAGTCGGTTGATGCTCCTAGTCTGCCTACCCGCCTAGACTTCTTTCCTGGCTATCTACCCAGCACCTCGCCCTCGACCCTCTTTTCACGACTCAGAGACACCAATTGTCGTCATACCATGTGACAATATAAACAAAATTTTTTTACAACTACTGTGTTAGCATGAAGCCGTGGTGAACAGCAGGCTAGGCAGTCCGGTCTTGAGAACCGGAACTGGGGGTTAAAACGTTTTTAATGGCCAAACTCTCACCTCCCTGCCTGCCTTAAAAAGCTGTTGTTACCAATATGGCTTGTACAGTTACATGTGTGCTGACACTAGATATACAGGGCCTATGCTTATTATCTAACACAACTGGGCTTACCACTACATACTGGAAGGTATTGGTTTCTTTTCTCCTGGCACTATAAACTTGACATGTGCTTGACCATGTGCTTTTTAGGTGATTATTATTTATTAGGTGATATTATTAATTAAGGCTGGGTTTTGGTTTGGCACTTAATGAATTATTTATGCATTGACATGTACATGTAGAACATATGCTCAGAGGGGGAGAGAGAGAGAGAGAGAGAGAGAGAGAGAGAGAGAGAGAGAGAGAGAGAGAGAGAGAGAGAGACTAATATGAGTTGCTCCTCATATGTTATTCTTAGTGCTATAATAATACAGCCTTATATGGTAAAAATGATCTCCATCTCATTTTTCCTCCTCCTCCTTTTCTTCTATTACCGTATAGCGGGAATTTTGGAGGGGCTAAAATTAAGCAAATTGCTAAATTTTGATGATTGAAGGATTTTAATTTGGCAAATTTGTGGCCACGTGTCATTGAGCATATGTATAATGGCTCAAAATGGTGGATTTTTATTTTGGCAAATTGCTATCAAAATGCCAAATTCGCCAAATTTAATTCCTTCCAAAATTTCCCATTATACGGTAGTTCCTGAAGACTGTCATTGGTCAGTACTGTATTTTTATCTCTGTCTATAAATATGCACATGTTTAATGTGTGTCATATCAATGTGTGTGTGGATTAGAATATAAAAATAGAGCATCACACTATAAATTAATATAAAGATACTATTAATCAATGGGTATAGATATACATGTAGTACAGTCTTTACTTTGTTCTTTTTCCTTCTCTCTGTCTTCTTTGCTATTAGTGCTTTGTTCAGTTGATGTATCATCACATTCTTTATTAATATCAATATCATTGAGGGAATCACTCAATGTCGCTTCATTCTACAATAATAAAATAAATAAATAAATAAAATTAATAAATAGACAACAACAATCTGGGATGCCATGAACTATAGTCTTTGCTTTTTTCCAAAAACCTGCTACTTCTTTAATATGGTCACAACTCGAATAGAAATGTGGAAAACATGTTTTAGAGCCACATTTAAGTCTACATTGTACATGTACATGTGTAAGTATTTGAGTGACAAGTATATCTGAAGAATTGAGAATAATTATTTCTTGTATAGTCTTACCTTCTGTGGCTTCTTTCCAGTGTAGAAACCAGCTGTAGAATAAGGTATCCTCTAAAAATAAAATAATAATTATCGCACTAAATTTTGTCAAACAATTTAAATTCATATTGACTGGTGGTTTTTATTTAATGAATTACTGAAGTTCAACGCACATCAAAATGACTGGTTCTATAAGAAGTTACTTAACCTTCCATTACATGTTACATTAATAAAAAATTACATGTAAATTATGAAGAATAATTAAGAGGGAAGAACAAAGGGAGAGAGAAAAAGGCAAATGTGAATGGAATGATAAAAGTTTATGGTAGTTGGTTAGATGTTCATTTATTCTTATACATAATGTACTTATATTGTATAGAAACTTTGAGAAAGTTTCTCCAAAATTATTCCAGAGTCCCTGTAGCATAATAGTATAGGGCCAGTGGCCAAATTTGCCAAAAATGAAAAAGAGGGATTTCTCCAATTTAATATTTTTTCTAACACATATACATTTAGGCCAGGTTTACACAGAAACAGTTCACTCAAATCCGTTTTGATTTTGCATCGTTTTTACAACATTTTCAATGCGTTTACACAGCTGCGTTTTGGCCAGGATAACTTTAATTAACTGTTAATAACGTAAACGCACAATTGGGGCGAGCATGAGCGAGACCCACTATAATCTGTCTAGGTCTATTTGCGTTACGTCTTGTTTGTGAACGGAAGATAACGATTATAAATCAGTATACTTATAATAAATTTGGACCACGCAGACAAAATTAATTTTGAGGGTGTGGTCACAATGAGAGAACAAGATGGCGGCGGCATACTGGACAAACTATCTATATTTAGATAAGATGACTGATGAGGGGCTATCTAAAGCATCCTAAAGGCTTAAAAACTTAATAGCAGTTTGATCTAAGACTCCTTTAGATTAGAATAAACTACCAACTTAAATGTCCATGTCAAAGATGTTATGTTTTATTTAATTAGAATTATCCTCTCTCTTTTTACTATAATTTTATACTTCAAATTTTCCTTCTCTCTCTATCCTTGTTCTTTAATTATTTTATGTTTATTAGTAAGTTATAGTTCTTTGAGATTGCAAGAAAGATTAAAATTTAGAAGTATAGCTTTGTTTCTTAGACCTCTCCTTAGAGTGGCAGGACATTTTTATCTGTTTTACTGGGTTATTTTGGTTCAGTGTTAGTTGGTGTGTTTGCTCTTTTCAGACCCCGGCCATGAGGCCGGGGTCTGAATATGCATGCAGGCTAAGAGCTGGATTTATTATAATTTTAATCTTCTTATCAAACAATGTGAATTGATGGCTCATGCTCGCCCCTTCAATGTTTACATTCACCCTAGTAATTTTAATTAATAAATTGTAAAATAAAATTGTGGTGGGCAAGGAAAACATGCTTTGAATTTTGAAAACAACTTTCTTTCTGAGAAAGCTTGCTATATTTGTAGAAAATACGACCAGTAGTGAGTATATACTTTCTGATATACCGTATATCTGGTAATTTTCATAGGAGAAAATTTTCAGACAGAAAAATTCATGTATTTTTATTTTCGCACAGTGGTTCCTGTCTGAAAATTAACAACATACGAAATTTTAAAGATCTTGTAAAGGATCCCACAGAGCATCTCTGCTTGAGAAGCTACCATGCTTATTAGACTGTCTGCCAACTGCTGTAGGAGACTAGGAGAGATACTTTAATTGGAAGAAACAAAGCAGTGCCATTTTGTGATGATAGTGCCACACGTCTTGACAATGCATGTGGTATCTGCATGCAAAACTTGCGCATGAATAAATTAATTTTCATGAATTTTAATTTCGCACAAAGCCATGCATCCGAAAATTAAATACAGACAAAAATTTCCAGATATACGGTATTACTACGAAAATTTCCAGATATACGGTATTACTAGGATTTAGCTTTTTGTGCCAATTTTTAATAATGTATTTGTTTTTAGCTGTTTACACGGAAACGCTACTGTTTTCAAATGTATGCGTTTTCAAAAGTCTCCACTTGGGAAGCCGTTTTCATTTCTCTTCGTTTTCATAGCGTTTTCGCACGTTTCTATGTAAACAGAAGGTGCAAACACATACAAAAGTAGGGGCAGTTGCAGGAATGGGAAGGAGATGCTGACGGCACACGAAGCGCACCGCGATTTTGACCACACCCCCTTTTTATGGCGCTAAAATGTTGTTTTTGAATATTATAGGCGTGGTCACGGTAAATTCAGGCACTCTGGTGCTTCCTACTGCTCTTTAAACTCTGGAAAATGCTGAAATTGAGGCTGAAATGATTGTCAAGTGTGTTGAATAACTTTCTTAAGACACTTAGCAGTGATATGAGACACCAGAGCTTAAAAAAGCAGAAGAAAGAAATGTTGATTCTTCAGGCTAATGGGGGTGCTCAAGTACCCTCAGCACCCCCCTAAATCCGCCCCTGCAAAAGTATTCGTTTTTGCTTGAAAACATAGCTGTGTAAACATGGCCTTAGTTATGTTGCATAGAAAGTTTCAGCTGATTCCAATCAAAATAATTTCTTTATGAAATTTTAAAGTTGCTATAAAATTAGACCAAATACTGCATAGCGATAAATTTTGGACGGAGTTAAATTTGGCAAATTTAGCACTTTTGATAGCTATTCGCCACAAGAAAACCCACCATTTTGAGCCATTATGCGCATGCTCAATTGCAAGTGGCCAGAAATTTGCCAAATTACAATTCGCCAATTGCCAAAATTTAGCAATTTGCTAAATTTAACTCCCTCCAAAATTTCCCATATATGGTACCCAGACATCATTATAATGCATGAACGACTAATATTAATTATATATGCAGTACAATATAAAGCATCATCTCCTCTCAGTTACCATGTTTTATATATTCTTGTGATGGTTCCCTCAATATCAGTTCATAGGGTAATATTTGTAGTCTCTGGCGGGTCTCACTGTCCTTTATCTCACTAATAACGTCTCTGATAGTATATACAGTCTTGGACCAGTCCTGTAGAGCCACTCCCTTTATAAATGGACCAGAATCAACTACTAAACAGCTCACTCTGCTCTTGTTCATCTCAATGTCATGGGCGACGGGCGTGGCCTCACTGGCCTACAATAATCATAGATAATAGAGTAAAGAGGGATTGGAAACGGGGCATCTCTAATACTCTAATATCCTATATTAGAGTATTATCCTATATCCTATATATCCTATATATCCTATATATCTAATTATTATTATTATAATATCTAATATAATAATAATAATAATAATGTACTCTAATATCTATGCAATAATTATCTTTTTTCATTAAAGTATCTATGATTATAGATTATATAGCATCATATCATACAATTTTCATATTTTCTTTTACTTAATGTAATAAAAAAACAATACATTATCATGGTTTGTTAACTATCTCATGGTGCAAATATTTTTAAAAAGAGATATTAAATATATTGAAACCTCAGGAAATCATGATCTTTATACAGTTGCAACTGTCTCAGTGACAATAATACAATGTGGGCTCCTGATTCAACAGTTGAAAGTTAATGATTTAAGTCCTTCAAATGATAAAAACAGCTTTTCTTTTCTCTTTTTTTAGTTCTCCACATCTTTAGTGCAAAGAAAGCATTAAAGCCTGTCACTGCTATCACAACTATCTAAAAAATAAAAATTAGATCATCACTTCATTATAATCTACTATTTATTATAAAATGATACCAAATAATAATTTATGCAACAGTTATCATTTCCTACAAGTTACTGACAAAATAAAATTTGGACCACATACTCTGGTCCTGTAGCTACTTTAGGGTCGGTATATTAATTGTGCTCTTAAATTTTGGCATTTTCAAGGGGACCCTGATTTATTGAAATGTAATATTAGCGAAAAATAGAAAGAAAATCACTGATGAAACTCCTATTCAATAGCATAGCACTACTCGATAAATCCAATCTATCCATTCAAGAGCAGAATACTTAATAGGATCACCTAATCTACTGTTATCTTGTTACAGATCTTGCCTTTCTTGTGTACAAGCTTGTTTAAGTACATGTACAAACTATTATTAGCGACTAGTTGAACTAGCATTTAGTATACTCACTAAAATGCTAAAATCAAGTGTCGCAATGAATACCTACCCTAAGGTATATGTGCGGGCTAAACTACTAAAGTGTATTTTGAAAATTAAATTATGCCAGAAATGGATTCAACTCGGTATATGAACTACAATTAACTACTTCACATTGTATACCGTAAAGCACAACATTTTCAAGGGCTGTAAATTTCCCGAATTTGCCTAAAAATCTATTTTGCAGATTCAATTTTTGTAAATTTATGCCGTCAGCCATTTTGTACCATAATAATCCTCTTAAATTTAACAATAATATTAATGGCATGTAAGTCGGCAACAATTATTGATAAATGACTGGAAATCTTTATTCAATGAATTGTCGATAGTTCAATGCACATAATGGTTATAAATGACCGATTTATAAAAGGTTCCTTAACCGTTTATTACAAGTATGTGTATGTACATGTACATGTACATTGATAAGAAATTACATGTACATGTAATTTATGAGTTGCAACTATTTATTTCTTTACTTGTTGTTCTTTGTTGGTTTGTATTGGATCAGTTCTTAAATTGGTTCCTCTTTGAGGTCCTCTCTCCTTCTCCAGCTGGTAAGTGAGTGCAATCAGTCAAAGATCAATAGCTGATAGACTTTGATAATCACCAGTCTTCTTAGAGAAATCAGTAACTAGAGGAGAGGGAGAGGGAGGGAAGAAAGGCAAATATGAAAGGAAGAATAAAAGTTTATGGTAGTTGCATGGTTAGATGTTCATTTATTGTTATACATAATGTTCTTATGTTGTGTAGAAAGTTTGAGCTGCTTCTGATTAAAATTAGATTTTTTATTAATTTTTTAAGTTGCTCCAAAATCGGGCCAAAGTCCCTGTGCTATAGTACAGGGTCATTGGCCAAATTATAAATTATAAATTGGCCAAATTATTATAAAATCAGAAATCAGATCATAATAATAATCTATGTGACAATTATATTTTCTTACAAGTCACTGACAAATTTAAATTTGCATGACGTGCTCTGGTCCTATAGCTACCTTAGGGTGTATGGGTATTAATTGGACTCTTTAATTCAGTTCAGAGTTTTCAAGGAAACCCTGATTTAGCAAAATGTAATATTAGCAAAAAATAGGAAGAAAATCATTGATGAAACTCATATTGAATAACATAGCAATACTCTATCTATTAAAGAGCAAAACACTTAAGGATCATCCTATCTACTGTTATCTTAGTACAGGTCTTGTCTATCTTGTGTACTTGTACTACCATATAGTGGGAAATTTTGGAGGGGATTAAATTTGGCAAATTTGGCATTTTGATAGACATTCACCAAAATAAAAATCCACCATTTTGAGCCATTATACACATGCTTAATGGCACATGGCTACAAATCCAAAAATCCGCCAATCACCAAAATTTAGTAATTTGCCAAAATTTAGCCCCTCCAAAATTTCCCACTATACGGTATTAGCGGCTAGTTGAACTAGTGTTTTTAAAAGTACACTTGCTAAAATGCTAAAATTAAGTGTTGCAATTAATACCCACCCTAAGGTAATAAATTAGAGTTTGTATAGTAAATTGGACTTCTATATAACAAATTGGAGTTTGATATGATAAAGGCCCACGGCCTTTTCAAGAGAAATCAACTTACAAGGAGTTTGTGGAAGGTACTGGATCTTTTTGATGAAGGCACTAGTTTACAAAGGTCTAGAAGGAATGAAGGATGGAGAAGGAAGAGGAGCTACTGTTTCACCAGATGCAACATCATCATGACATAGATATAACTGTACCATAAGTAAACTTAGTTTATTATTGCTAAGTGTCTAATTATTTTGATATACAGTTAACAAGTAATTTAAATTGTTCTTTATTGTAGATATCTGACTATTCTAATAGTAGTACTCTAGACTGTAGATATTACTAATAAAGTAGTCCTCTAATTATAACTATAGTAAACTGTACCAGATATCTGACAAATCAAGGGCAGTAAGATAATAACTATGTGGCAAGACTGGCTGTCTAGCCATGCCTCGCTACACCATACTTTCCAGTCGCTGGAAAGGAAGTGGCTCAGGCTTGGGGTCAATTACAAAATTTCATTTCAATTACAATTACTACCAAAGCAGCTAAAACCAGATCAATTACAATTACAATGACTGCCATAGATGAGCTTGTAATTACAGCATTAATTACAATGATCCTGATTTTACCTCTATCATGACAAAAATAACAATGATTTTCTACCACATTGTATTGAGTTTTTAAAAGTTTTGTTAATCAGTGAACATTAATGAGGCTTACTATGCTGAAAATTCACTCTAGAGGACTGATATAGGTAGAATATTATCAAAGTAAGATTATAGGCACAATTACAACACATACATATATGTATAACCTAATTACAATTACAATTACACTCTGTAATTGTAATTGTAATTATATTTGTAACTGACCACAAACCTGATGTGATTACAATCATACATGTGTTTAATAACTGAGTAGACCTAGTATTACATGATGGCTATATAAACCAGCAGCAGTACATGATCAGAGGTACATCTGTTGATCCTTCTTTCCCAGGGTATCTATCTATTATGGATAAAGCAGCCAAAGCAATCCCATATTGTGTTGGTAAATGGCTCCCATCTGATCAGGCCGTCCTTGACAAGTGGCTGCAAGATCTCATTGAAGAAGTTGATGGGAAGGATTCCACTGATTGTATTGATGATGTTGATGCTGCAGATGGAGGCCTTGAGATAGTCGGATTAGAGCCACCAGTTAGGGCTCTTCAAGTCCTGATAGAAACGGACTCAGAGGTCAACATGTTCTTCCACCAAATGTTTCGACAGATCCCGGCTAAAGATCCAACCTGTAAACCGCATATTACCAACTATCGTCTTATGTTGCGTCTGATAAACCACATCATGACCAAGGCACCAGAATTCAACGAGTCCGGACTAGTTGGTTTTCCCATCAATGCTATTCTAAATTGGCCTATGGGAACCACAGGAGGGTTTGCTGCCTTTTTGAATGACAAAGTTAATGTTCATTTTAAAAACATCCTCAATCACTGGGCCATCTTTCTTAAATCTGAAGAATCTCGCTATGTCCTTAC